AGAAGAATAAGAAGAATAAGAAGAATAAGAAGAATAAGAATAATAAGAAGAGAAAAAGAAGAATAAGAAGAATAAGAAGAATAAGAAGAATAAGAAGAATAAGAAGAATAAGAAGAATAAGAAGAATAAGAAGAATAAGAAGAATAAGAAGAATAAGAAGAATAAGAAGAATAAGAGGAATAAGAGTAATAAGACGAATAAGAAGAATAAGAAGAATAAGAAGAATGAGAAGAATGAGAAGAATGAGAAGAATGAGAAGAATGAGAAGAATGAGAAGAATGAGAAGCATGAGAAGAATGAGAAGAATAAGAAGAATAAGAAGAATAAGAAGAATAAGAAGAATAAGAAGAATAAGAACAATAAGAACAATAAGAAGAAGAAAAAGAGGAAGAATAAGCATAATAACAATAATAATAAGAATAATAATACGAAGAAGAAGAAGAAACAGAATAACAACAAAACGAAGAAGAACATGATAAGAAAAATAATCGGAATGAACATAATAAGAATATTAAGAAAACACCTTGAAGTTTCGCCTCGAGATCAGAACAGTCACAAAATAGTTCTGTCTCACACCGACGGACCTCGTTGGCGCCCCGGTACAGCTGGGCGTACAGTTTCACAGGAGACGCGCGACAGCGGTGGGCTGCGTGGCTGGGTGATTGTGGGTGATGTACTCGTAGCACTTTTCCGCGAGAATCTCAAAGCGCGCTTGCGCTCTGCAGGGGTTCCTTAGGCCCGTCCTCTAAGGCACTAGGCGAGGAGGCGATAAGGTGAGGAGGCGAGGAGCATGGTTGACATCAAGTCGAACAGCCCCACACCCAGGGTTGGGGAACCACAACGAAGGAGCACTCAGCAGAGAACCCAATGCAGCTCACGGCAGGCCAAGTTTCGGTTAATTTTGGGCACAATAATAAAGCCAGCTTGGATTGGACAGCTCAGGACCTGACCCGCAGCCTGCTTAGGGAGTATGCGCTCAAAATGTGCCAGTTGGACCGCATCTGCTTGGTGATGTTGGCGGTGATCTACATCCGCGTTTGCAGGCCGATTGTCTTCTTGGTGCTGGCGGTGATCTCCAAGTGGCTTTTGGTAGGCAAGCTATGCCCGGGGCCCATTCTGTCGGATTACCAGGTGGGATGTCAAAACAAGGGCCCTTTTGCGTTGACTTGTTGCATGTTCGGATTGTTGAAATGTCCCCTAGATCACAGTACTGGGGGTTAAGTCAACCTGCGTGGTGTAAAGTCGACACACGACAGTGTGACTTCGGAGAAAGTACACCGGCACAGCGTGACCTTGGGAGTTACTCCTTCAGCTCGTGATTTTCGACGTTGGGAACGCATGTGTCGCACGGGGCTTGGCGACCTTGCAGAATCCCATTTCAAGCAACTGTCGCGTCTGTTTTCTGCATCGTGGTTGTGCTGCCCAAAACCTGGTACGCACTTGCAGTTCCCAATGATTTTCCACTGGATGTCGTGCGTTTCGCGTCAGTTTCCAAGGAGAGTTTTGCATCGCATGCCGACTTTGTGCATCGGGCCGTTTTCTCCTGAAAACCCATCGTGTACTTGCGGATTTCAAGTCCGCGGGTCGACTTTATTTTTGCGGATGGGTCGACTTCGTCGAATTGAGGCCCTGCGGAGTGCCGACTTCGCACAGCTTGGACTTAACCCCATCGCTAGGTATCGTGTACTAGTCGATTTTCCTCGTAGTCAGGCCTTGCGGTGCATGGATGTAGGCAAGCGGCCAGGTCTTCCAGCACTGGTACTTGCAGAGCCTTTTCACCGTGGAGAGAATCGCTGCTCTTACTCGCATCGTTGGGAAGCTTTGTTGCAGATGGGCAGTGGCCTTTTCAGCCTTCATATCTGTTTTGGGGTCAGAGAAGGTGAGAGACGGGCGTTTAAATCTAGGGCTTGCGCGTCTTTACGTTCCAATGTTCCCTACCCAGCTGCCAGCAGGCCTCACTATCGCCTGATGACTTGGTTCTATCGTCTGCTGGGCATGAAACTCGGCGACATTTGAGAATGGATTTTCGAGTGTTCCAGAGTACTGCAGCCATACACAGTACCAAAGCCCGAGCTGCCAGGAAAGTGGGTGAAAGAATATTCTGGCCGGGCGTTCCGTGGCTCGGAGGCAGAGACTGGATCGGGCCTGTCATGGTGCTGCAGGTCAGGTCGGTTGTTGGACATACCAAGTCAGGATCAGGGTGTAAAATAAGGGTTGTGAGTTGTGGGTTCGTTTCCAAGGCTGGCGATGTATGACTTTGACCTTATTGAAATTGGGGACGATGACGCTTGGCTGGCCTTGTAATTCCCGGCAGCTGAATCGCCAGAACATGCGTCGTACATCGTTGTACTTGATCATAGTTTGACGAGTGGCTGCTGGACGTGTCTGGTGTCTAGCCCGCGGAACATCCGAAACCGGGGGGGGGGGGCACAGGTGACTTTTGGATCCAGAAGCACCATTCTCTGCGCCAGTTCGCGGGAGGCCAAGGTTACCCAAATCCTTTCTGGAGCCACTTGTCTGCCTGGCGATGCCAAGCCGCCGGAAGCTTTTGTGCGTTTTTTGTTGTTAAGTTTAAAGCTTGGCCTGCTTGGGTTTTGCCCGAACCGCCTCAGCCCTTGAAAGCTGAAAGTTTTAGATTTGGAAACTCAGGCTATGGTGGCGGACATGTGCGTTCTGCTTCCTGGAAGCTTGTCTGCTGAGGGCAGGATGGCACATGAAACCGCAGTGAATCTTGAGATAGCTTGGGGCTGCTGAACCCTTCCCTGCATACACGGGATTTCCTGGAGCCCGAGGCACTGTGGTCGGAAAGGGTGCAGTCCTCGGAACTGGCAGCCTGGGTGATGGTCGCTTCCCGAACTTCTCGGTTGCATTAGGACAGGGTTCAGAGAACACAGTTTTCATTGTCATTTTTTGGAGGGTCGTAGGAGGTTTTGTAAGTGTTGAAGGATGTCTGAAAGGGGTCGCGGAGTGGTCTCAGCTTTTGCCTTTGCGTGACTTGCTTGATCCAAGACTGTTACTGGCTCCTTGAAGTCTTAGAGCCATTGAACTTTGGATTCGGATCTAGACCATGTCGTGAGTTCACATCGGAGCCGAAGCTGGCAAAAAGTTGGTCAATGTCACCGTGCTATGCGCTTTGGGGCATGCTCGAGGTCAGCGGTCTCGATCAGAGGCAATACAACTGCCCTAAATGTGTTTCTTCTTGCGAGCTCGGCTTGACCACTTTGCAAGTTGGGAGCCAGGTACTCTTTGCCGTTTTTGGCGATAGACCCTGAGTCGCCTGAGTCATCCTGAGCCCCAATCAACCAGCACGCGCTTCTTTGCAGCAGGACACTCTGAGGGTGGCGCGAAGATTCTCCGAGTGGACAACCCAGAAGCCAAGGCCTGAACTCTGTTCTTTTCTCTCCTGTACGCCCCTCTGTTCTTTTCTCTCATATACGCCCCATGTGCCCTCGCTAGCCCGTTAATGTCTTCGCCTTCGGGAACATGTGTGTGTGACAGTACCCGGAATGCCCTGGCTGCAAGCTGCCTGTTATTCGCGAGCATGCGAGCCTGACATGAAACATCATGCAAAGGTTGTCGCGCCTTTACGATTCTTCATTTTGCTAGGCCCGCATTTTTGTTTTACACTTGTGGATGTTTCCTTTTGTTTTTCGTGGCATTTGCATACTCTATCATGACCTTGATGCCGTTATTGTCGTGGTAACGACGAACCAGTCACTACGGATCAATACGATAGTTTCCCGCGAGCTGCGCACTTTTTGTTGGGGTTGGGGCTTTACCTGAGTGCCTGAGGCACAAGTCAACAAGCCTACACCTTTCGGGCTCGCGCTCTACAGCAACCAAGTCCTGCCCTACAGAGTCGTTGGGCAAGCCGAGCTCGTCTTGGCGAACGTGCTGACGCATGCTGTGCTTGGACCGGCGGTGGCAGCCTTCAAGTTCATGGGCTTGTTCGTGTTCCTATCGCTTTGCGACGTCGAGCTGCAGAAGCTGTCGTGGGTCAAAAGCAGCACAGGCAGCACAGTCTACGGCATCCTCTTTCTGGTGGCCATGATGCTGGCGTGTCTTGTCAGGTTCGTGATGACGCTGCTGGCTGCCATTGCACTGAAGTGGACCATTATCGGACGCCGGCGGGACGGGGTGTATAATTGGGATACGGACACTTACAACCAGAGGTGGAAGCGATACACTCATCTGCAACAAGTCCTCGATGTGACTGATCTCTTGCCGTGCCTCAGCGGGTCAGAGTGGCTTGCCTTGTACTACCGTTTTTTGGGCTGCCGGATGGGGCCAAATGTTTGTATCTGGGAGACCAGTGGTGGCCCTGGGGTGGTAGAGCCAGATCTCTTCACAATTGGCGAGGGGACCTGCATTGACAATGCAAGCGTCGTGGCTCACATGAACACCCTCGGAGCCTTCACGTTGCAGAGCACTCGCATCGGCAAGAACTGCACATTACGGCCGAAGTCGAAGATCATGCAGGGTGGTGCTTGGACAGCATCGAGAATCGAAGCTAAAGTTTTCTTTGTAATTCTGTTCGTTGCAAGCCCCTGTTTCCGAAAACCTTACTTCCCTCCGAACCGCGACCAGGAGAGATGGATGATGGTGCTGTCTTGTTGGAGAAACTTGGATGTGCTGCGCAAAGCATGGCATCCTACCATGGCTTGTTCCAAAATTTCCAAGTTTTGTGATTAGACCCAATGACTTCCGAAGTTGTCTCATTCAGCTGTCCAAGGAAATCGCTGATCCTTCCGGGTGAGAGGCAACCGGCTAGGACTGTGTGGTTGGGCCGGCCCAGGCAGTGGCAGGGCAAGGCCTGACCTAGTGTTGTGGTTCGCAGTACAGCTCGTCCGCGACAAGGAAGCTGGCTGACATGACGAAAACACAGGCTTGGGAGCTGTTGTGGTCAGGCTCAGGGCTGTCTGAGTTGTTCCAGGCAATGCCCTCCAAAGGAGCACCCGAGTTTTGGCCGTAGTTGGAGGGCGTCCTGCGGAGTCAGCCAGGAGCCTGCGCCCAATGCTGGCTCGGCGGGCTGGGGCGGCCGTGGTGCGCTGGTTGCACATTGCAAATGGGTATGCGTCAACCCTATGCGTCTCGATGAGTGCAGGTGGGCGTTTTTTTGTATGTTATTGTTTGTTTGTGTGTGTGTGTGTCTGTGCAAAGCTTGAAGCGTGAGACAGACCTTCCCCCACAGCACATAGAGCGACAATGAAACGAGTAACGAGTGGGACAAGGGCTCAGAGGGTTATTGCGCTTGGTGGTCCTGGTGGACTTGTCGAGAGCAGTTGAGGGCTGAAGTGAGTTTGAGGATTGTGTTCCCGAGGGTCAACTGGGTAAACTGCCGCCAGGCAGTCGTTGCTGGCCAGCTCTACAGTTTGGGCCCTGGAGTCGCAGTTCCGAGCGGGAGACCCTGGTTTTGTTTCCCAACTCTAGCGAGGCAACAAGCGGGGTGGTTTCTGTTCTGCGGGAAAAGCAGAGTACCTCAGGAGTTGTCTGGAGGGTGAGAGTGGATCCGGTAGCTTCCAGAAGGCTTGTGCCCCACAGGCTTTCTTTCGAATGTTCTCGGCGCTTTGTGAACGGATAACCGTGTGCGCATGTCGCACGTCCACACATCCCAAAAGCTGTCCCAGAACACTGCCTGACGGCCTTGGCAAAACCCCGAAGAGCCTGTCTCCAGAAGCCCAAACAGCCCAAAAAGCGGCGAAGCCCCCAGTCTGCGGTGGCTACGACGGCGCGCAGAACTTGTCAGACTGCGAGCGCTTAGACCCAGTGCAAGGCCCACCAGGGCTTCGAGACTTAGCAGGCCTTCGGGTTTACCATGACTTAACATCGGATGCTTCGGAAGGTTCCGAGAAAGAAGGCAGTTTCAGGCAAGGGGTGTCGGTGTCGGCCTCTGTTACCTCTTTCCTGGTTGAGTCGTTTCAGACCAGATGCAAAAAGGCAGTTTCAGGAAAGGTTGAGGAGTTGGGGGCATGTCTCCGCATGGTAAATGGTGAACTTCCCATTTCTTTGCAGAGAACCATGGATTTTGCCTTTATACGTGTATAGATGTGTATATATATATATAACTACATATATATATATATGTGCCTGTCTCTTAGAGGAACCTCCGAAGTATGTGCCGAACTCTCTCGACGGAGCAGCCGCCGAAACAAGTAGAAGAGAAGCAAGTACTTATTACATCTTATTACAAGTAGGTAAGAATCAGCATGCTTCTCCTTGGCCCCTTGACGTTCCTAAGCCTTTCAAGCCCGCAGACATGGGCACCTGCCTCATGACTTGCCTTTCCTTCAGGCTTCTTTCCTGGGCTTCCGAGGTTGATTTAGATACAAGCTGTTCGGAACCAAAAGCCCCACATCGAAAAGCACAACTCCCGCCCACAGCTCTTCCAAACCAGCTACTCAACCGCAACGACACAAAAGAAGAATTCAAAGCAATCCTGAGTTTTGAATCCAGGGTTCAAGTCGTGTTTCGCTTGTGTTTCACTTCAGCCTCGACATTCGAAGCTCATGACGTCAGGGGACTGGGGTCGTGAATGTTAGTCGTGTTGGTTGCAACTGGGGTGTTGGGCGCCGGCGTGTTGGGAGCGGGTGTGGCGCGAGGCGTGTTGGGAGTGGCCGGGAGGCCAGTCCGGAACGGGCAAGGCTCGACTGGGGAACACCCCCGACGCACGTGTTCGGAACACGTGGCTTCCTTAAGGAACGGCAAAGACCGCGAACAATCTCCAAACCTTGCCCTGGATCTGCAACCACTGGAACCCATGATTCACAGACAATTCCTGTGTCATCGTCAATGTTATTTAGGAACCCCCCTAAACTTAAGTTTCTTGTTCCCCTGTGTTCATTATTCGAAAAGTATAGAATGAGTAGAGAAGCAAAGACTTAATTTAAGTTCCACCCCCCTCGTTTCTTGGTTTTTGGTTTCTTGTGTTCATTAAAAGCCTACTTCTGGGTGCCACACGTTCTTGACTCGACCCCCGTGCGTGCTCTACTTACATCAGACCCCACCGCAGATCGTTCGGGGGCTGTCGAACCCAAAACTTGAAGAGTTTATGAAGCTTAGTGCGGTTCTTTCCTTGAAGGGATGTGGGAGCTGCTTCCGCCCATGCCCCGGCGCAGTGGCTATTCTGCGTCTCGGCACGGGGATTGGAGGGTTCATCCCCAATCGGATGTGTCGGAAACATTCGGAAACCAAGCGCCCTCTGGACAATGCCTGAGGTCGGAGCAGCTTCGGAGGGACATGAAGATGGCGGCTTGCTGCATTTCATCTGAGTGAAAGACTGTCCGCCCTCAAACGGATGCCACATTTTTCACACGGCTGCTGCAAGCTGTCCACCGTCGACACTTGAGTTTATGGCTGCATGTTTTGTTGGAGTAGCTTGTCTCGGCGTCGCCATGATTAGCTCAGAGCCAAGGAATTGAGGAACTCTAATCCCATGGGGTGGTGCAAGGAATGAGGGCGCTGAACGCATGGTCTTGTTGCTTGACCGCTGCGAATTTCCCTCGCCGTTCAGAGTTGCTCAAGCACATGCAGAATCATGCAGAGATCAAGGGAGGTTTGTTTGGGGCAAGCCAAGGCAGGTAGGGGCCATGCTCATCCATGATCCAAGCACTCCGACCACGACCCCTAGAGGCCAAGGAAGCTGCGGCGTATTGCTATGCGTCCTCAAGTCGGACCTTCTGCGTCCAGCCCAAGCGGCGCAACATGCCAAGGTCTTTTCACTTGGAATCCCCATGGTAACCTCACAGATTGGCTGCAGATGATGCACGAGGCCGCTGGCTTCTGGGATGACAGTCTTGTCAGACTTCGGTCTTAGTCGGGCATCCAGGGTCCCGTCGGCTGCTTTCGTTGTCATTCGCTACATGTCCTCGGCAAGAGTCCTTGGCCGCTAGCCTAACTGCACGAGCCCTAAATGGACCCTTGGTCCGACCGTGGCTATGCCGGAGGCCAGCGAACAACCGTGGCTCGACTGTTCCACGTCCCAACATCCTGAACAATGATGCGCTATGTGCTTAGTACTTAGGGTTTTTTCTGAGCCAAAGAATGCACAACCAGCCCTCAAGCCCCCCCCCCTCCCCCCAACATCCCTCAACCTAAAGCTCTCCACGCTTGCAGAAGGATGGGCCTTCAGAGGCGGCTGGCGGGCAGCAGAAGCCTCCAGGAGATGTGAGAAGCAAGTAGGCGGGAGCTGACCTGAACCTCGTAGCAATAGCTACGGGTAGCTCATACAGGCAATATGAGTGAATATTGACCATACTAGCATGAATTATTACTATTATTACTATTACTATTATTACTATTTATGATGATGATGATTATTATTAGTATTGTCATTATTATTGTTATTATTATTGTTATTAAATTGTTATTATTATTGTTATTTTCTATTTCTATTATTATTACTGTTATTATTCTTATTCTTGTCATAATAATAATAATAATTATAATTATTCGTATTTTAGGAGTAGGAGTAGGACTTGGAGTAGGAGGGGTAGGGGTATTAGTAGGAGTAGGACGACCAGGACGAGTAGGACGAGTAGGACGAGTAGGACGAGTAGGACGAGTAGGACGACTGGATGGGTATGGGCCTCAATAGCCTCACAAATCGTCACAAATACTTCTTTGGCCTGAAGTACACTTTGATGCTGCGTTTCTGGTTGCAGGTGCATAGGCGATCCTGCTGTAGTCCGCTCGAAGCTCCCTATGAATTATGGCGCCCAGAGCTGGAGTCGTCCTTAACCCACCTTGAGCCCACAACCCCCCGCCCCCCTCCCGCAGGAGTTGGCTGGCATCTTTCGCGAGCCACCCGGCGGATTTTGAACAAGATCGAAGGCTTTGACTTCTTAACGCCTTTCCCGGTGTCTGGGCATTTCTGTGAAAAGGCACGGTTGCGCGGCCGATTCGCCTGTCAAGCCTAAGCGTCCTGAACTCTACGAACTGTAAAGAATCGATGTTTCCAAGCTCAGGTATCAACCTGTGACCAGGCTGGGCATAGCAACGGCACCTTTGGATGCCAGGTATGGTGCATAGCTGAAACTCCAGAGCCTCCATGTTGCTAGATTCGCATGCTAAGCCGAATGCTTACCAATCGCCTCGTTCCTGCGACAGCTCCCTTGAGACACCCCCCCAAAGCTTTCGGAGACCCATTAAGCTTTAAGTCGCCTTGAGACCCCCTCCCCCCCCGCCGCGAGACCGTGCGCGGCGCACCTCTCAATAAAGACATAGCGCTCAGTTGCTTAGGCCACACACGAGTAGTTAGGATACCAGAACACGGCCCTGACGCTTACACCCACCTGCTCACATGCCTAGAACCCGCAAAAGAAACGCCCAAAGTCTGGAGGTAAAAGTCGCCAAGGTCAAAGGAACCCGGAGAATTGGGACAAAGAAGGGCTCCCAAACCTTGAAGCTGGAAAAGAATCCCCACCTGGGCATCTCGAGGTCTCCAGAAGTTTGTTCAGACATGTTTCCGGGATGTTTTGTCGGAGTCTCACGGAAAAGGGGCCGGGTTGGGCGGTCGTGTCTCTCTCTCTCTCTCTCTCCTCTCTCTCTCTCACTCTCTCTCGCTCTCGCTCGCTCTCGCTCGCTCGCTCTCTTACTCGTGAGGGTTTTGAGGGCTGATCTGAAAGAACAATGCAGACTGGCACAGTCGAAGCCCCGAAAACAGATGCGGAGTTGCCAGGCGGGTGGCGCAAGAAAGACATGGAGGGTGGCAAACCGAAAAGAAGATGTGTTTGGCAGTTTGAGACCTGCTCGGGACAACATCTCTAAACGACTACAGGTGGCCAGCGGTGTCACATGCCACTGTCCACTCCTCAACATTCTGTACGACTCACCTGATGCTATTACTGAGGGTTTCGAGGGTGCGGGGTTAAGGTTTCTGGATAAGGTAACCAGGCAAGGTCGTTCTTCCAGGGTATCGCGGCTTAGCACCGCATTTGCGAGAGAGCCTGCGTGCGCAAAGCGCGCGGTGCAATTCTTCAGATCTGAGTGCCGAGATGCATTGACAGAAGTCGTGTGAAAGGCTTGCCTCGTCGTCTGCGCAACTTGACACCCTAGCAGAATTTGGCAAGCGAAGCTAAGGCCCCATGATCGTTTGAACTCGTTCGAACAGATACGAAAGGGTTCCATATGATATGCCCTGACAGAACAACGAAGCCCCAGATCATCACCTGACATAGGCGTGAGATCCCAAACAGTGACGTGCCAGTTGACCCCAAAAACTGACCCCAGGGGCTGACCCAAGGGTAGCTGATAGGAGGCTGTAGCGTCGTGACATGAGGCGAGGCACAGTGCTTGTTAATCGCAAACTTCCTTACTCATTGTGAGCCTGCGTTTCTCGTGCAGTCACTATCGGAACCTCCCCAGAAACACTCGCGACCCTAAACCCTAAACCCTAAACTCTAAGCCCTCAGACTCCTGAACCTTGAATGCCTCGCCTGGCTTGTCCGAGTGTGAGCGATTAAACTTGATTAAACCCTAAGCCCCAAGCCCTAAACCCTAAACCCTCAACCCTAGACCCCAGTATGATGTGTGACGTCCCTGAGGCCTGGCACCGGCTCGGCCGTTTCGCGCGGCCGGCCAGGGGCCCAGAGGCGCGGTCACTGGCGCAGCGCCTCCACGAGGCACCAGGTTTAGGGTTTAGGGTTTAGGGTTTAGGGTTTAGAGTTTAGGGTTTAGGGTTTAGGGCGGTTGAAGAGAAATCCATGTGACATGACAGGTTCGGGTTGACCAGGGTTCGAGGCATATTCTCAACAAGATCCCTCCGTAAGCCGCCGCCGGATGGGAACTTCTCAGGGCAGGAGCTTCAGCTGCAGTCTGGCCCTGTAACTATAACCCTTCTCCACAATGCCAAAAACGGCACATCCACGCCAATGCAAAGAGGCAGTCTTCCCAGGATTGGCACAGATTTGCATGAGCCCTGCGCTCCGCATGTAGCTGCATCCTCGAATCCTCGAAGAAATGGAGAGAATGAGTCGAGAGAATTGCATTGGTTGCTCGAGTAGAGTCTTGGGCCCTGCTTCTGAGAGATGTTTCGGGAAAGCGGTATT